ACGTACACTGTGCAGCGCTTGTAACGCACACGTCGTCGTGTCGTCGTCCCCCCCCCGGACCCATACAGACACACCTCTGCATAAACCACGACACGCACACACTGTGTGTCCATGGAGGACCGTATCCGTCATCGTTCACCTACACATACAGCCCGCACAGACACACAGCCTGTGCGCAGGCACGACCTTGTGTGCACACACGCACGTAGTGACATCCACACCGCCACACCTCAGTGTTCCCATCCGCACACGCAGCGTGTCCCCTTTCAGGGTCCTTCCCGGGTACCTTTCCCAGCCCTTTCCCCCCACTTTTCCTCCTCCATTTGCTATTCCAGCCATTTGCACGCGCCCAGGGATCTCTTCTGATCCTACCCCAGGCTTTAAAGCACAAACATCCTCGTTTTCTTTCCTCAGGACATCTCCCACTTGCTGGCTGGCACCTTTGAGGACCTGTACACTGGAGATGTTTTCGGGGTTGACATGGAGGCGAACTGGACCACGTCCCGAGGAGGAGATGATGTTTATCATGAGAGTTTTACGGAGGAGCTTCAGAAGGTGCAAGTCAAAACCAAGTCAGAGTTTGGAGCTCTGTTCAGCTTTCATTGCTTCTTCATAATTTCTAGTTCTTCTGTAAAATAAAATAAAAAGGGGGGAATCCTAGAACTGACATTTTAATGGGAATGTACTTGAGCACAGTTTCCCACAGAACCTTTCATATAAGTTAATATTCACCACATGCTCCTTCATGATATTCTCAGCTCTGGATGGCTTTGCAGACACAGAATTAAACCAGTAAAACTAGTAGCCCTTTAAATGCCTATTTACTGGCTGACAACTTTTCCCTGTAACTGCTGGTTGGTGTATTAGACTTCCTATCTTGCAATGAAGTATTCTTATGTGCTGCATTTTGAAATGCTGCAGATATTATTTATATATGCTTACCTTAGTGGTGCACTATTACACATAATCCATTAGCATTTGCAACACTGTTTGGGAATATTGGATTAAACCAACAGTAGAAATGCAAAATACTTGTATTAACCGTTGCTCTGATAGCTATTGTCGGTCTATAAAAGTAGAGGCCATTGCTGGCTGATTTGAGCAACAAGTATTTTTTCCATTTTCTGTCAACATACACTCTCAAAGATTATCAGAGCTGAAAAATCTGAAGTTTTTTGTTTCTTTTGAGTCATTTATGAATATACTGGTGGACACAGCGTGTTCTGAGTTATAAATGTGAATTCTTACTCCTGAAATGGGCTGCTTGTACTGTCAGTTGAAATTAATCTTATCCATGTCTAACATGTATGTTACAGCTGAAATAGTCACTCAAGGATCTCCGTAGCAGCAGGAAAAAAAAACCAAGAGAAGAAACTCCAGGCACTTTTAGGGCACAGTCTATCTGATCCATTTTAGGTATCAACTTTGGCATGGGTTGGAATTGTATCCTGGATTCCAGTGACAGTGGAGGGATCCCAGAATGATCAGGAGAGGAAGAAGCACCTCATTTTAGCTGAGATGCACCCTATCCTTTCTATTTTAAACATTAAATAGAATTATTTTATTCTATTAAATGAGTCAGAAGGTTAAACTGTGTTACATAAAAGTTCTACAGAAAGCTCATTTAGGCTGCAGATGCTCTTGAGACCAACGTCTACCCATTTCTTTTGGTGTTGGTCTCGTATCTGTCTGTGCCTCTGCTATATATTCTCTCTTTAAGTTACATTGCTACCTCTTTGAAGCAGGACTTTTCTTTTTCAGTTGTACTTGTAAAGCACTTACCATATATATTTTGTCAGAGTGATCCAAAATCTATCAGAAGTATCACTATTGGGATATTTTGGAGTTTCAGAAACCTGCCTAGTAACCAGGAGGGAACATTCACTTTACATTTATTCCTACAGTTCTGGGCAAAATACAGTGCAGTACCTACTGTCCACAGAAAGTTTCAGACATTTCTCTTGTCCTGAGAGGGTCACCTCATCTTTCACACATTTTTCTTGGGTAGTGCTTCTTACCAAGTGCCAGTTAAATGATAGGAATGACGGTATTTTAGCAGGCCAGTTTATGCTTGTAAAGTAATGATGTTTTACCAAGCTATCTCTAGTTCCCTCTCAAAGGCAAATAGAAACTATTTATCCGTAAGGAGATCTTGACCACTCAAATTACACTCATTTCTCTATGTTCACCCATGCCTGTGACAGCTTCTTGCTGAGTGTAAGTGCCGACTGACAGAAGCTGACAGAGTAGAAGAGAACATCATTCAGGCCCAGGATCGAGCAAAAACTGAAGAACAAAGGGCCCTAAATGTGCTGAAGGCAGATGCCGGGGATGAATTCCACAAAATGGGATTGCCACCAGGTGAGGATTCTGGAAATGCTCATGTACATGCTTATGGTACCTGGAGACTAATGCAGCGTTTGTCTGAATCACTGGTAGGACTGACACTAGACTTAGTGAGTTTTTAGTTTGGCTTTACATCACTAGAGCTACTTTGAAGGATTTTGTTACTCAAGCAGAGTAACATCTGTTTAACACTGGAAGAAACAAAACGACCAGATCATTTTCAACGTGTTAAATTTGCAATTAATGGCTTACCACCTAACTTTATTACAAGCATACACACCTTGATATATAGCATCAACGAACAGAGATTAAATGTTTCTCCAATGGCTGCATAGCTGGGTTTGAACTGAATTTAGAATTATGGAGATGCATGTCCAAGTTTTGGGATTAAAATACCAGACTCTTTCTCAATCCAAAAATATTACCTGACAGCGATGGGTTATAAAGACAACATTACTTTGGATTGATCAAGATAGCGTATCTTAAGGGACTATACTTTTGCATTTCTTTGTGATTTTGTTTGTTTGTTTTACTGTTGCAGTGGCATCCTCTTTCAGGTGGATTGTGGATAATGAACTTCTCAGAAAAAATCATTTAACCTGCCCTGATGATTACATCACTGATAAATTACCTGTTACTAGAGCACCAAAAGGTAACTTTTAAAGCAAAAAATAATTTAGGAGTTTTAGAGCATTCTATGAGAGCTGAAGCATTGGAGAATGTAGCAGATCTGAGTCTATTTTTATAGTATTCTGCCAAAGCAGAAGGAACTTCAGTATTACAAGCATAAAATAGCACTAAAAGGACGTTGTCAAAATTAATTTCATAAATTAAAAATTCTCTTCCTCTAGAATTAATGGATTATTGAGTTTAAATGTGCTTAAACATGAAATTTAATGGTGGTCACATACTTGCTTACAGTTCTCTCCATCTGACACAAAAACTCTATTAATTGTGACTGTTCTGCCTCTATTCAATTTTATTAGCACAAAGCTGCAACTACATCTTGTATACAGAGAAGGGAAGTGGTTACATTAAAGTAAAAACTATTTTCAGTGAAATAAAATTGTATTCTTTATTTTGGGTTTAGAATTTTCCAGTTCTGGAAATGTATCAATTTAATTTGCAAATGAAGGTCAGTAAGAAAAATCTCTGGGGCAATGTCAAGACTTCTTTACTTCTTTCATGTGTGAACCAAGATGAAAGGTTTTAGAACCATTAAAATGAAATTTTTCAGTGAAGTCAAAACAAACATTTCAGAGTAATCAATTTAGTCACAAGTTAAAAGGTTTGGGTTTTTTTTCCCCTTGTAAATCCCAACAAAGCAAAAATCTAACATCTCAGAGTTTCCTTTGAGGTGACAGTTTTGTTGTCTAATGATAGGAACATGGGAATAGATGGTATGTGCTGTTTATGTCAATTTTCTGGCTGTCATAAATCCATCATATAGTTCTTTTTGTAAACTGAACAGGACATTCAAAGTCCCACTCACTTGTAAGGTTAACATAGCTTTCTGAGAGTAATATAACTTTCTTTGTGTGTGGCTTGTTTAATTAGTATTTCTAAAAGCTTTCTTATAAAAGCACTAAGCTTCATTTGTGCAAAATAAATTATAAATGTAAATTAAATTCTAGAGGATTTAAAGTGTATTTTTACCATCAACAAGACTAAAGTAAATTCATACACCTATGCTTGGAATGAATGCTTGTAATTCATGTTTTTCTCTTACAAAATTAAATTTTTCTTTGAATTGCAGGAAAATCAGAACCTGGCTATATCAAAGAGACATTTAGTTTTAAACAGCATGTTTCTTCAGGCTCACGGGACCAGATGCCTGGAGAGATTGCACACCTACAGAAAACATCTGGTAGTTTGACAAGTGTGTCTTTATGCACATTAACTCTGCCTTCAACTCCAGAGCCTAGCTACCAGACTAAAAAGACAAGTAAGGTACATTTTACAGATTTATTTCTTTTAGTCTGTCAGAACTCTAGGGCCTATTGCTGTTCTTATAACAAAGGGTAAATATCGATGCATTGTTGATTTGGCTCCAGTACTTATTTTATTTGATCTGATGAGAAAAGAGAAATACAATATTTCTGTATGAGTTTTCAATGTTGTATAGCTTTAATTAGACATGTGTAAATACCTTTTTCATCATCCTTAAAATTGCCATGTTTAATTTTGCACCATGGTGTTTGTTTCTCAAAGAAAACTAATACCTCACAGAAGCTGGCCTGGAGAGATAGTAAGTGCAAAGCAGAGGGAGAAAGAGACTGTGCTTACCTTGCCAAACTTAAGAAAAGGCAGAATTACTTGAAGAACCCCCGCTTTTTCCCACCAAATACTCTTCATGGAGGCAAATCACTTGTCATTTCTCAAGAAGAGGTGGAACGAACCATAGCCAGAAGAAAAGAAGAAGATAATAAAGGGTATGCAGTATATACAGTTCCTTAATTCTGAGCTGGAGCACACAGAGAGCTCCACTATATACTATCTCTCTCTCTCTCTCTCTCTCTCTCTGCACTATATACTGTGGATTTGCACGTAGGTATTTTGAGATAAATGTCTCTTAGGAAACAATGTATGTCTGTATGACATTTGTTTTTGCTAAAGGATACATTTTGCAATTTCTCAATTTTATCAGTATTTAAAGAACTAGGTAGTAAGATAATGTCTCCTCTTTTTTATCTTTCAGTGATACCTTATTTGTTCCTGTGTTTCTAGCCAATCCACCTACTGTTTTGTTTTCTGATTATGAAGTTGGCCAGGTTTATGAGGTGAGAGCTTACTTCTTTGTAGAGAGTTAATTCTACCACTGAGAAGCATTATATCCTGCCATGATCTGCATATTTTACCCAATCTTTTGGCTTTCTACAGTTTAACAGAAGTCTGAGTTTCTTCTTTATATTGATTTAATGAGTATTTAATGATAATACTCTTTCACACATGCCACTGACACACTAACCAGTGAAAACTAAAAGCAACCCTTTTCACTCTCCTCTTGGTTTTTGTAGTATCTGACTCAGCCCTTTTTGAATAAACTGAGATTTTTAGGCCAGTTGTGATGGTAAATTAGCTACTACTAGCAGAGCACTAAGGAATTGCAAACATAATGATTGATGATAAATACAATGGAGTATTTTATTTCTTTTTAAATGAAGACGACTATAGAGCTGCAGAACATCACTTCAACATGTCACCATGTAAGACTTATCCCCCCCTCTACTTCAGCATTTGCCGTTGGGCCAGGTAAGGGTTCTTTTTACTGCCTTTAAGATGTTAACACATATGAGATCTAATTTATCTCCTTGAACAAAGATTTTTCAGAGACGTTCTGTTTGGTTGTGCTATCCATAGTGCTCATTTCTTTAGCAACTGAAGGTTGACTTATGTCTCTAGGACCATTCACATGCAACTCATAAGCAGATTCTAATGTTCTAATGAGGAATTCAAGAAGACTAACTAGCATTAAAGTATTTAAGTTAAATTGAAAGGTATCCATGGAATACCTAGATTGAGTCTTATCCGAAATTCATCTAGGAACAGATGTAGTTTCCACTGAAATCATTAGGGGGAGAGGGCAAGAAATAACATACTTCAGTTGCAGCAAGGAAGATTAGGTTATAGGAAAGTTAAGAAAAATATCTTTCCTATAGTAGGATAGCCAGGCACTGGGACAGATTGCCTATGGAGATTGTGGAATCTCAGTCACAACACTGGAGGAATATTTAGAAGTTAGATGTCCCCATGTAAACCTTGTTGTCCTGTGGCAGAGCAAAACTGGGTAATGTGTCTGGGTTTCTCCTCCCTCTGTTTTCTGTAGTTATGAGAAGCATATTTCAGGCAAAAAAATCTTTGAGTTCAGTGGTGGAAGATAAGTGCATATACAGATTACACTGGCAGGCTTTTGTGGTCATTCGTTTTTATCAGCTTGACTTAGGCAATAAATGGGGAGAGTTTACAGGCATCTTTCCAGAGGGAGATGTGATCATAAATACATATGCCAACTTTGGTGGGTTTTAATTTTTTTAATTCCCTGCATTTTGTTTTTCCCAAGGAAAATTTCCAGGAAAGGGAGGAAAGATCGCTCCTGGGATGACATGCCAGTATACGATCCAATTTATTCCTGAATATCTAGGAGATTATGAAGACTGTATATTAGTGGAGACTCAAGTATCAGAACCTCTTCTGATACCAATCCAAGCTAGAAGACCACCTCCAGTGTTAACATGTCAGTAATGTCCAATTCTTAAGTTTTTGTAAAGTTAAATGGACTTGGTTTTGGGTTTTTTTCATTTGACCGTCTCCAATTTTATGTCACACAATAAATGGGGACAAACTTGGCAGTGCAGTTTCTACATTTTGAGATCTATCTCATTTTCACTCATAATAGATTTATTAGTTATTAAAATGTAATCCTGTCATATTTTTCCTCAATTATTTGTTTTTGCCACATCAAGCTCATTTTTTTTCACTGTATTAGAGGAGTGAGCAAGAGCCACTTGTCAATTCCTGGGCTCCTAACTGTAATTACTAATCCTAAATATTAAGGAATTATGATTTAGTTATAAGTATTTGATGCTATTAATTAATATTTATTGCATGTTACATTAATTATATAGAGATATTACATATCTGCAGGGTTCACCTCACAGATGCCTCAACTGTAACAACCAGGATTACTTATGCAGAAACTTGCTCTGATTTTTTGTAAATTCACCTTTCCTGTTATACTGAGCTTTTTAAAAAAATCATCTTACTTTTTGTTTTCATTCAGTAGAGTCTTTAAGTAGCAAGCACCATTAAAATGTAAGATGAATGTAGAAATACGCACCTCATACTGTTTAACTTTCAAATGGAAAGAATTTGAGGATTTTAGGCTTGCAGCACCTAGCATATTCATATGCAGCAATATTTAAGAAGTAGCTGGCTTTGGCAGCTGCTAGCGTTCACTGTGTAGTCTGATTTTCTCTGTTACTCATTGCAGTGCCTCACGTTGTAGACTGTGGTTCCTGCCTTGTTGGAGGAATAAAAGTGATGATGATTTTGTGCAGAAATGAAGGAATGAGCACTGGGAAGTTCTGTATAATGCCAAAGAAAGCCTGGCCACCTCCTAATTTCAGGGTGAGTGATTAGAAGGTAAATACTGGTCGTGGTATGGTATAGGTGCCCTGACATGAAGGCCTTTTGAGCTAGTCATGGTATATTAGCACAGAAGTCATAAGGCCTTGCTGGGGATATTTGTATTGTGCCATTCCCTCAGGGATTTACTTTTATCCTCAAGACCAATCTCCTTGGATGTCCCTATCTTCTGCTTGTGCTCTGGCTTGCCTCTGGAAGAAGTTGTCTTGCTCAGTGGTGAGGTAAACTCAGACATAGATCAGGGAAAGGACAACTGGCTGAACTTTAACCTTACCCTTAAAGTAAAGAGAAATGCAGTCAGTTCTAGCATTGCTTGAGCTGATTTCCTTCCCCTCCCCACCAAAGATACCACTGACCTTGCTGCACCTGTAGACCCTTGCAGTCCACTCCAGTACTGCTCTGTCTTTAGCTTTCCATCGCAAAACAGGGTCTAAGCGAAGTGGACAAAGGAGATAAGATGTGACTTTCACACTGGCATTTTATGTGCTGGAGAAAAGGCTAATGAGGCAGCTGATGTGCCAGGTTGTCCCTCCTGAGATGCTTTACAGTTCCAAGTCAAAGTGAGTCATAAGCATGAAGAAACAGGTGGAGCTCCTATGCTCAGGCATAGCTGTTCTATGAGCATGAATATTAGGGCTCCTGACACTATCATTTGTCTTTGGAGACAGCACCTTCCCTCCTGCTTTCACTAAGGCAATTATAAAGCACAGAGCATTTCTTCTAATCAAGCTATATACATAAGCCACATACTTTTGAGATGTGTGAAAAAAAATACGGTAAGAAGTAGAACAGTGATGTTGTATACTGCCTGTTTTAGGTAAATGTATTTTAAAAACAACCACCTGATCAATTAAATTTATTAATCTTTCTTTTTTTTCTTTTTTTTTAACAACTTAGGTTGTTGCCACTGATGGTTTTGTGATACAAGATCCTTTTGGGATCCATCCTGCTGTTTTTGAGCTAGCTCCAGGGCAGAGTACAACAGTAGAGGTTAGTAGCAACTGCTACAGGAAGTATTTGTACTTTACCAAATAGATTAGCAAGCAAGATTATTTTAGAAGATACATCTTTGCAAGATCATTTGCAGATTTGGATTTGTGTGAGCAAAAATGCTCAAATCTTTTTGTGCAATTATGCTGAAGTAATTGAAGTTGTGAGTCTTACTGGAGAGTAACTGCAACTTTGAAGCTCTGCTTAGCCATTCAGAGACCAGTCAGATTTTTCCCATGCAAAGAACCCTGTTAGAGAAAACAGGCATCTGAGAACACAGGAGTGCTTATTTCACTCCAAGTGGGGCATCAAGTCCAAGAAACCTCTCCTTTCTGAGCTTCCTTGAAAAAAAAAAAGGACATTTTGGGAAAAGAATTCTTTCATTTGGAGCAGCAGGTACAAATCCTTCACTTATGCTGTGCTCTTTCCTGAAAAAGATCCTGCAGTAAGCGTGCATTACTGGTTGCCACCACTACTTTGTCTGATGTGGGCCACATTTTATTATAGCACCACTATGGGGAGAGGAAGAGTGATATGGAGAGTATGACTAGCCTCCAGCCCTTCCTTTTACCAGTACCTCCTCCTGGCTGTTGATAAAAGGAATGGGTCAGGCAGGTGTGGATAAAGGAGAAACGTTTCTCCTCCTTTCTGTCTCCCCAGGTGCATTGCTTCAGCAGGGCCAGGCACACGTGGGAGAGAAAAAGATTTAGCATGGGTTGGGTTTGCAGGTGGTGACGGGTAACGGGTAGAAGCACCATGACGCACATTACACAGCCAAAAGTTTTGCGTCCTGACCCATTTTTGTTGGAGTGGAACCCCGGCAGGCACACACTGCCCTGCTCACGCTGTTGTAGCCCGACAGGCAGCGGTGGTGTTGCTCGGTAAGTGCCTGAGGGCAGACCCGACGCTGAGGGTGCAGTTCATACAGCTAACCCAGTAGACTGCCCTCATCTCCGGTGCCTACAGAGCAGCCTCTGGTGACCGTCCAGATACACACATGCAAGTTTAGTGACCCAGAAAACACCTATTTCTCTCTGGTCTGTATTAAGGGACTGTGATACTGTCTGTTTCTTGCAAATGTAAGATTTAATTGTTAATCACTAGAACTGTGAACAATTTACAGTGATTTGTAAACTGTTTAGTGAACAATTACAAATTGAAGTTTATTACTTCCTGGCGAGAAGTCCGTTACAGACACTGCTGTTTCACTTCTGTCTTTCAGGTAGTGTTTTTCCCTTCTTTTCCAGAAGTCTCACAGCAAACATACACCATTGTTTGTGACAATTGCCAAGTCAATGATGTTACAGTCACAGGTTTGTTTCTAACACCTTTCAGAGATCGCATTTCTAACACCGTAGATATTCAGATAATGTGAGTGGTGGCTGATGGCTTGAAGTGTTGGTAACATTTTATGTCATTGGATTAAGGAAATACTTTGACCCCTCATGGTCTTCAATGCTAAGCATTTTTTTACTACTATTATTACTGCTCCATCCCAGTGCATGAAATACATGGGACTCAGAAAGTACTGAGCTTTTAACCCACTGTAGACAAAAATCCATATGTAAAATGTCACCCAGTAGCAAAAAAGAAAACCTGTTGTCAGGTGCAATTCATTTCTTAGACTTTCGTATCAATAAGGTAACATGACGAACTATAAAACATCAGCTTTAACAGGGCAGAAATACATTTGGGTGTGAAGCAAATTTGGGGCACATCTTGGATTAGAGTATTCAGGAGAGAGGCAGTCTTTGCATTAGCTAATGAAACCAGTTGAAATTCTTGTAAATATTAGTGCTTGTCCTATAATGCAATTGTGAGTGTTATAATGCTAGGCTTAACTTGTTGTCTATTTAATCACTTTATTAGAGATATTTCCTTTGGAAATTTTTAATAGTGCATTGGCTGCTTATTGTTATTTTAATATACTGCTCAAAACATCAAGCCACGTTATTACCCATTGCAAACACCCTGCCCATTTCAGTGAAATGATGCTCATGTAAGTGAGCTGAGGTTGTGGCCCTGAAACCCAAATCTGTTGAATTCATGAAGAGAAGATCTCTACTGATACATGTTGATAAACAAAGAACATCATGAAAATATTGTACAATTAACACACTGGAGTTCTGAAACTTGAGGACACACCAGATATAATCAGTAATGGCCATTGCTGGCATTTGCTGTTAATGAGTAATGTGAACAATGTTAATAGCCAGATGGTAAACAGTAATACCTACTTATTTCTTCAAGGGGTTGGACAGCTGATAGCTCTGGAGCTTGTGTTCATCACAGGTGGAGAAAGCAAACCTGAACCCGGTGAAGTTACTGATGTAACAGCACAACATTTCATACGATTTGACCCCCAAAACCCACACGCCACCGAGGAGAAGAAATTAGTTATAAGAAACTCTACGTACGTAGCTACTATTAATAGAGTAATGCTCTGCAGTCTAAACATACTGGTAGAGATCTCACTTGTGATACTATACTCTCTCAAGCTGGAGAAACCTTCATGTACATGATAAACCTTGTGCAGAAGTCTCGCTTCTTTTTGCTCCTTTGTTTAGTAATTAAGGTTCAAGGATATGCTTGTAAGAGCAGGGACATTAGACGTAGATCAAACATTACAGCGACCATTAGCCACAGCATATGGTTCATACACTGCCAAGGTCAATATATTTGCTTCAGTACAGGTAAATCTACAACTACAAAAGATTCATAAATATGGATGTCTGCAATAAATATTTAACAGGGTCATCCAGATAAGGTTTATGTAACTTTACATGTCTACAATATATACTTGTGCAACCAAGCGAGGCACCCTATACTATTTTCTTTCTTAGTGCATGGAAATGGATGTAGACATCTCCCATAGAACATGACATAATGCATCCTGGACTCCACTGGATCTCCACTGATGAAAATGGGAGCCCAATGTAACTAACTCATATTAAAACTGTCACATGATTCCTACTATTGAGTCCTAATAGATTTAAATATAAATTCTATTTGAAGTCAAGGGATATGTCCCTATGTACAGTTACATCGTACTGAACGTAGTGGTGTCCTGATTTTGCTCAAAATCAGTCAGACAATAATACAAGTACACTAATGTGCATGATTGCAGTAGTTTGAGGCTGCAGACCATCAAAGCAATGAGGAGGTCAGTGCTGGTTTTAGATACATTAATGTCAATTGTTACTTGCTATGGTGAATTTCTGGAAGTTTGGTTTGTGGCCTGGAAACCACACATGCATAATGCCAGAACAGAATGCTGTTTGGGTAAAGAAAGTGGGATTCAGTGAACTGGGTACTGTAAACTGATGAAGGATGTGACTGTGCCAATTTCCACATTTTCTTTGGGTTATAATCACGACAGCAGTCCCTGCATGTCTGGTGCCAGCATTTGTACGAAACAAAGCTGGAAGAGAAAACTTTCTGCTGCTATTGAAAGTGATACAAGAAATTTTATCTGTGCAGTTTTGTCATTGATACTCACTTTCAAACTCCAATGTCCTTCCTCACTTTTAGTAAGGCAAAGTTTTTGAGGTCAGCATGAGCAAGGTTTTAAAAACCGTGAAGACATTCCTAACTAAAAGAGGGTAGGTTTAGACTAGAGATAAGGAAGAATTTTTTCACAATGACGGTGGTGAAACACTGGAAGAGGTTGCCCAGAGAGGTGGTAGATGCCCCATCCCTGGAAACATCCCAGGTCAGGTTGGACGGGGCTCTGAGCAACCTGCTCTGGTTGAAGATGTCCCTGGTCACTGCAGGGGGGTTGGACTAGGTGACCTTTAAATGTCCCTTCCAACCCAAACTATTCTATGATTCTATCATTCCATGGAATACACTTCTGCTGAAGCAATCTGGTTAAGCAACCTTTTCTGGGTTACAAAGAGTATTGCAGAGCCCTTGCTATAATCTTAGCTGGAGCCACTGTGTTTTTTGACATGTTAAAGACCACATCTTGCACTTGGATTAAATTCAGAGTGTTATGTAGATCATGAGCAGTGATGCAATGCAAATATACTGTGGAATGGTTCTCCTGTTTCTTCTTGAAAGAAGAATTGTAGAGTTTCCTAAAAGTTGCATGATATGACAAGTTAAATAAGGCGAGAAAGTGTTAACATATCTTACATGTTTATATAATTTACTTCCATATATTAGCATGTTCTTTGTACAGTTTATGTACTCTGACTCTATGCTGCTTCATCAGCTTTGTAGCTCACAAAGGCTGGTAAGTCTAACCCCTGTAATTTTTTAAGAAAGGAATTCCCTAAAAGCAAAAAGGAACTGAAAATTTTCTCTCAATATTTTACTCAAAAAAGATTTGATTTTTTTAATCATAGCTTTTTTGTTGTTTATTGATCTTTTTGCAGCCATGTAGAACTTCCTTTCTACTGGCAGATAATAAAGCCTAATCTGAAACCATTAATACCAGAAGGAACTGCAGACCTTATGAAGCTCAAATACAATAGAGACACAGAGTCAGCCTTCTCCCTAAATCCTGAGCAGGGGGTTTTGCTTCCCCATGTGGATCATGAGTTTATTCTCACTTACACTCCACAGGAGGTATGGCTTATGATTCCTTCCTATCTACAAACTCCAGCTGTGTATTTTTATGCAAGTCATAAAATTCTTGCTGTGCAGCTTTCTAAAGTTAATTTAATTAGATGGTACTATGCTCTGATAAACAGTGTTCAAAATGTAGAAAGTTACTAAAAGAAAACATGTTTTGACTGCAAAATGTGAGACAGTTTCTGATCTCATATAATTTTTGGTACTGACTGGACACAATTAATTTTACACTGAAAGTATGGACACATCCTCATAGCTGCAGCTGTGCTGGCTGGTAAAGCTACCACCCTCACCACACTACCAGCTCCTCCAAAACCTCCTGACTCTGCCTCTTCTCCTGGGTGAGCTGCTTTGGTGATGCGTCCCATATCTAATGCAGTCTAAATAAGTTTAGTTAGGAAACAGTGATTACTTAAACCATTTCCAACTGTAGCTTTTTTGGGCTGAAATGGGTCCTGTGAACAGCTGTATGGTAAATTAAGGGGATAGTAGTAGCCTTTGGCAGAAAAATGATGGTATGCAGCTGTGGGTAAAGAGGGGTGCAGCGATGTCTGAATGCAGCTGTACCAGTGACTGTTGTCTTAGTTTCTGCTCCCCATCTCTGTAAATAAGGAGCATGAGCTCACTGTATTTAAAGAAACTTGATCCAAAGTAAGCCCAAGAGTGGGAATATCCCGTGCTGTGGTGATAGACAGATACAGGAATACCTCCAATAAGTATGGAAAAGAAACTAACTGGGTCTTTTAAATACTTTAATTAGGTAATAGAAAAATATATTGAATTAACATAGACACTTAAATTAATATCTCTCTACAAACAAATGAATCTTTTGCAAAGCCCTTCAGATTTAAGGCCTGCTTCTGTGTTCCCCCCCGCCGCCTTGGAATATAGAAGGCATCCTCTTTTCCCATGACAGATAAAATCATATTGATGGTCAATTAAGCTAAATACCCTGGAGCAGTTAGAAGAAACTTTAAGTTAATACAGCAGTACTGCTCTTAATTTGGGGAGCCTTTGCAGATGCTTGTGTGTACTATGCAATATACTAGGGAAATAATAACAGGCATGTAAAAAATGAGTATTTTTCTTGGAACCGTACACCATGAGATCAGAATCTGGCTTAATATTTTCAGTCAAACATGTTTTCTTTTAGTAACTCTAGAGCTTGAATATTGTTTGTCAGAGCTTAGTAGTCGAATGGTGATCATTCATCCTTTAAATGTAATCTACTTTTTCATCTTTTTTTCATCCTCAACATAACTGATTACTTGACATTAAAATCCTCTCCTTCTCATCTGTGTAGCTGAAGAGTTATCACAGTGTGATTCAGATGGTACTGAGGGACATCCCAGAATCACCTTGGTAAGCTGAGAAACAGTATTTCCCAGTAGGATGTGTAGCCACATTTTAGCTACATTATTTCATTAAGTTACTGGGATTCTTTATCTTTCTGGTGGTGATGGTCTGACAATTATAGAGGATTTTATCTGTACAACTAATAGTGGTAAAAGAATGTCTCTGTGAACTTCCCTTGTGTCTGAAAGCATGCCTTAACCCTACCTAGGGCTGCTCCTCTCACGGAAAAAGATAAGTGTCACATTGTCTGTTCATTTTCCAGGCTTTCTGCTGAGATTTCCAGCAGGTTTTCCTGTTATTGTTGTTTGTCACAGCAGTCTATGACTTACAGACTTGTTCATGAGCAGACTGGGATGTCTAGAGTACTTTAAAGAACCACTGGAATTTTTCCAGTTTTTAATTGTCCTCAACCTGAGCTAGTTGCACACTGGCAGTCTATAGCTGAGAAACTTTTGATGATTTTCCGTTTTGATCTGGCAATTAAAAGATGAGATCCAGTTTAAAAACCAGTTTAAAATGCTTAATAATTCTGCCATATTTCCTCCCAAAGTTTAGTAAAAGAGGGGATGCTTCAAAACATCCCAGAATACAAAGCAGAGGATGTAATAGCACTGGACATAGAAGTTAAAGGATCGACAGAACCGTTTCAGCTTCTTCTGGAACCATACGCCATTATCATTCCTGGAGAAAACTTTATTGGTGTAAATGTCAGAAAAACATTTAAGGTTTGTTTGCTTTTGACTTTATTGTTATTATGTGCTTAGTGTCACTGGATGTCATAGGTGTATTAGAAGATACGAGACAATCCATGTTATTTTAGTTTTTCTTAAATATTTTTAAAGGAGGCCGTGACTCCAGGAGGATCTAGCAGGCTTCCTTAGCCCCACACTCCAGGCAGCAGGCCTTGTTCTTTTTTCATCTCTCAAGTTTGTTACCACAGAGTATTACCCTTCTAAATGTTTTTCTGGACCACTAACCTGGTCACTCCTGTAGTGTAAAAGTTTTCCAGTTAGGAGGAATAGCCAAGGAATGATTAAATGGCTTTATAACAGAGGCACTGTTCATGCAAAGGACTACAGGCAAGCACAGAAGAGCTATAAAAGTCACATTTGCTGCAGCCTACTAGACCTTATTCTTTCCTGCAGGTCCCATAATGGTCAAACAGACATTCTGATAATTTCTATTTGACCATTCTGGGACAGACTGCTGCTGGAATTCTGCACTCAGTGTCCTCTTCACTATAGATCAGGATCCTTTTGATCTTAGGCTCACTTGGGAAAAATATGCCTGTTAGCAAGAGCAGGCAGGAAGACATTTCCCAGTTAATGATCTTCCCACTTTTTCTTAAAGATACTGCTAATCAGCACTTAGATTTATGCTTTCTCGTTCCTAGAAACTCTTTTTCAACGTAAGACAGCCATTTCATACTTTCCAGTAATCCAGTATAGCTACACATGTGGTAATTAAGTCACTTACTGATAATATAATGACATTCCCCACAGTTTCCAATTGGTTTTTTAGTCTTAAAAAGATAAGAATTTGAACTATGCTTAGAGGCAATTGTTCTTCAGAGAATAAAGTTATTTGCTGCAATTTAAGAAATAATGTCTGAATAGATCTGAAGAGCAGGCCAAAGATTTCAAGGGCTTACATCTCCCTCACAAACATATCCTTTGGCCAAAAAAGGCTGCTCTCAAAGGAAAGATTTGAAGTTTAAGTTTAGAAGGTCTGTTATATTTTTGAAAAATGGGGAAAAAGTTTAAAAGGTTTCAAATATGATAATGTTCTTGGAAAGAATGGTTAATGGATTTTCTTCAAGTTTCAGAAAGCACTTTCACCTGTGTGAAGGTAGCCACTGTGTTAAATATAGTGCTTATGTAATCTGAGCTACCTGTGCTAAGCTTTCCTTATAGTCCTTGAGGTCTCATTGGCAGCATCTGGGGGTGATTAATCTCATCCTACAGGCTCAAATAGGTCAGAGGAATTGCTCCCAGCACTCTCTAGTTGGCTTTATTTTCAGTAAAGGGAATCCTAGGAGATGAGGTCAAGTGTAGCTCTTGCATCTATTTTGCAGACACCTGAAATCCAGTCAGGTGAATCCCAATTCTTCTTGTCCTTGTTTCACATCACAGAGGAGAAGGGAAAGGAAAGGGAGGACGCAGCGTTGTCATGTAAATAACGGTAGTTAGTGCATGGCACTGGGGTAGTACTGTTCAAATCAGAGGTTAAATGAAGTTCTATGCCTTTCCTCTCTTACCATGCTCAGTTTATTTCAAGATTCAGGTGAAGATGTCATAGCTAGATTCAAGGCATGTTAGTAGGTCATAAAGTTTAGTGGCAGTCAGGATATTGTTGGAGTTTGCAACGTATGTGATGTAAGACTTGCAATACCTAGTTTGCAGTGCATCAGTACTCAGCAAATTGGCTTGTTGCTATGAAAGCTTAAAGAGCATTAATGGTCTTCTTGATTTTAATTGTTTTAGATGTGGAATAACAGCAAATCATTGATCAAATACACATGGGAGAAAATCATGCTCTGTGACATCATGGAAGTTGAACCTCATACTGGCATCATAGGTAAAGTTTCTGTGACTTGCAAGCATCAACTAATGACAGAAATATTTAAATTGGTATGAGTAGAAGAAAAAAGTCACAGAGCAGTATAATGCAAGCTGCAAAATAAGACCCGATCCCCAGCCTGCTGGAGCCAGCAGGAGACTTAATTTGGTTCCAGGAGCTTCAACAACAGGCTTGCAGCAGGTGGTTTCTTTGCAAAAGGGTGAGACAGGACACTGACTTTTTCTTTTCTAGATATGAATAAATGCTGTGAATTTGAACTGGCAATTACTGGAAGCAAACCTGTGTGTATCAGTCGTAACCTGCAGTGCAAAATCGAACACTGTCCAGAGCCAGTTGTGTTGCATGTTGAGGCTGTCTTTAAGGTAAGGAACAGTTCAGTGCTGCAGGATGACTAGCTGTGGGGCCTGGCCATTGTCCATCTAAAGCTTTTTGCCTCTTAAAGGCATGACAAATCTAAAGCAGTTACAAACAGGAGGTATTTTTGCTGTCTAGTAACTATTGAGGCAATGTTGTCCCATGACAATAAGAATTTTTCTGCATTACACACAATGTATTTGTTTGCTGCTATTCTCTGTGAAATCAAATGTTACTCTTAGATAATGTATGCTTCTTAATTAGGCAATTTTGGCAGAAGTGTCCATTCTGACATCTGTTTCCTGATGTCCTAGGGTCCACTTCTTTGTATCGATGTTCCGTCACTCTGGTTAGGTTTGACTAAGCAGGGTGAGAGTGTGTTAAGAACCTTCGAGATTAGAAATCTCTGTCAGCTTCCAGCACAGTGGAGAATGCAAGAGAGCCAGGTTTGTCTAGCAGAAAGGAATGAAGAGGTAAGTCGCTGCTATAGCTAGCTATGCTCCCTCTTTAGCCATTTTTTCCTTATGCTTAGGAGTTATAATATTCATTCCAGATGTCAAAAGTTCTAATTGCTGTGACTACTTATGAAGCTGGTTGTGCTAAGTTCCTTAAGTGCATGAGTTCTTTTGAGACTAAATGCTTCTTTGCAGTTTTTACTGTGTTTCCTTTTATTACAAATCCCCTGCCAGCCTGATCCAAAGGGACATGGACTATTTCCTTTATGACAGTGATTTCAGCTGCTGCTGCTATAAATAAGAGGGTAAGACTTTATCAGAACTGAGGCTGCTACACCCTCCTCCCACACACTCACATCAGCATATCGGACAAGAATCTCAGCACCGAGTTGGGCCTTTTGGCTTTAAACAGTAACTTTGAAGCACACAGGTGTGTTCCAAAATAACTTCTTACTACAGTGAATACTCAAACTATTATTTAGTTTTAGGTATCTAGACTGTGATGTGTCAAATGCAATCCATTCCAGTCTTTGACTTCAGAGCTCATTCCACTATTTCATATGAAATAACTAAAGCAGCCTGGAGGTAATACTGGCGGCAAAGAATTGAGGGAGAGCTGCTATCTGCAGACCATCACATACTCCTAAAATTAAAAAAAAAAGGCAAAATATGTATTTTGATTATTTGTGGCACACAGTGGGCTTTGTAGCTAGATTTCCCATTGGTGTTATGCATTAAAGGGAAGTGAGGAAATCCAGACTCTGGGGTGAGTGCTTTTTGTTGTAATGGAAGGCCAAATTCTGCCTATAGGGGTCTTTACGTAATTAGCCATGCAAAGAATTGAGTTCACTTGTTTCATGGCAAAATTGGTCCAAATGCTGTTCAGATGTTCAACTTTCTGGACAGACTGGCAGTTTTGCAATGGAGAGAGGACCTTGTTAAGCAGGAACTTTCTATTGACCATCAGGACATGGTAGCCTGTGAGAAGTTGCATGGTATCCCCATGAGTTCTTGAGCTTTATTTTATTCTCTATGTATCATGTAGATATCTCACCAACTTTGGGTGAAAGTTGATTGCAAAAAGAAAAGATTTATGAGTGGTGGTTATGGCAGCCTTGCAAAACCGTTGTGTGTGTGTATGTCTATCCCTTTTCCCACAGAAAAATTATAATCAGAAATCCATGATTAGGGATGGGGGTGCCCTGGAGGAAACCCTGTCCTCACAGTCCTCGTGCCCTTACTTCTCACTGTTATTCCTTTGTCCCCTGCTGTTCCCAACAATTCCCTGAACCCCAGAGAGATTTTAGTCTTAATCTCTTGAATTTGTTATCCCAGAGCTCATTTATATCCCAGTGAAGATCTTAGATCAAATGCTCCATTCCTCCTGCATAAGAGCTACCCCTTTCCTTTCCTGAACCTCTCCAGCTCGCACCCCACACTGGTGCTTTTTCTGTTTCCTCTTGTGAGGAGGCACTGCTGCTGACTGCTTGTCCTTCACATTCCCCCTTACTCCATGCACAGGCATCCCTGTTATGCCCTTGGCTCTGACTATCCTTCTCTTAAGGTTGTTGCCTTTTTATTAGCTGTCCCCATAAAAGCAAGTCCTGCCTCCTTGTCTAGCCAGGTTTTCACAAAGCTAGCACTGTGTTTACTGAAATCAACCCAGGTGGGACTCCAGGGACAGAGAGAAAGGACATATCTGAGGAGAAACTAGACACATACAAGTCCTAATTAGATTGTGTGCCTTCAGCATTTTACACTTGCTTTGCAGACGTCAAAGAAATTTCTGTTTCCTCTCTCCCAGGTATCTCCCTTTACCATTCGACCATCTGCTGGAGTAATACCTCCTTTGGGTATATGCAGTGTGTCAGTTCAGTTCACATCATTGCTGTGCCAGCGTCTCCAGACAGTATTAGAACTAGAGGTAGAAAATGGAGAAGGAAGGTAAGGGGGAAAAGTGGCCTTCAGCTTTGTTTTTTTCCTGACATCCACATGTGATTTTCATTTTAGATGGTTTTATCTCCTAAAACGAAAATATGTAGCAGGAACTCAGCGTGGGGTTGTGTAACATATCAATGAACTATCCAATGGCTAATATTGCTAAATAAACATGATCATCATTCTTTCCAGCATGCTGTTGTATGTCTAGCACATTTCATTAACGATAACAATAGACCATCTGTGTGTTTATTTCCAGTCATCTTCCTGTTTTTGTTGAAGTTCAGACCCCCCAAGCATGCCTGATATCTAGTCATCTAGTATTCACTGAAATTTATACTGGAGTTCCTGTCAAAGCAACCAGCAAACTTTTTAACCAGACGCTGCTGCCAGCAAAATACTTATGGGGAAAGGTAAATGCACTTCTAATGGATGAAGCATACAGCAGTGATGGAAATTGCAATTTCTATTAAAATACAAGTAATACTACTACTTTTAAAAGCTCTTCTGATGTATCTTTCAAGTAGTTTACTGCTGTTTACTGGCTTATGAGCCAAATTTCAACTTGAGACCAGCCTTTATGAAAAGATTAACTACCAGCTGATGTCAATATGCTCTTACTGTCTATGGATCATCCCCAGCAGAATGGATGGGCAGAGATGTGAGGGGAAATAGGATGTAAGCTACCAGAGTATTAAACAAAGTACCATGGCAGTTTAGGGTTTACATTTAATTTACTAGAGCAAAGAAACAATGGTGTTTTTGAATGGTGTCTAAATTTTGCTTAAATTTCACGTTCTGGGTGGGATTCAGCTTACAGATTAGGAGCCCCAAATTTAATGTCAGTATGTAAGCTATGGTCTGAACTCTCTTTTCAGTTAATGGAAATCTGAACAGGGAGTCAGTCGCCAGAATATATATGGCTAGTGTTGTTTTGGGTGCTGTAGAGTGGTATTCCAGACCTTCAGGTGTCACTCAAGAAATGTGGTCTCTTGGAAGTCCTGTCACACCAGTCAGCCATGCACGTATGGCTTGGCTACCCTCTGTGCCTGTGTTTAGGCAACTGAATCCTACCCCATCTGTATAGTCAACGGGGTCCAGAGAAGTATTCAGCTCCTCCTAAAACAGACATCTATTTTGGTCTGCAGAGTGTTCTCGCTACAATGCTAGCATTGACACCCACTACACATACACTTAGGTGACTTAGTCCATAAGATGAATCATACTGTCAGTGCCTTGGTCATTCAGATCTACTCTAACAGCTCAGTTGCCTACATAAAAGCATCCAGGGCCATCCAAGATGTCCTTAGGTGCCCAAGGGATCCTAACAGAGCATGTGGATGGTACAGGACTGATAGGAAAACCTTTTGCAACAGCTGGAGGGATATCCACAGCATTTTGCATGGTACCTGATGTTTGTGCGTGAGCAACTAAGTTGAACCCCTGGATTCATGCCACGTGCAGGTAGTTGCTTAGGGAAGGTGCCAACACCAGGGTTGTCTCTGTAGGCCACCTCAGTGGTCAGTGGAGAGAGATGGGGCACCTCGAGGATCCTGCTCCAATATCAAATAGATTGACTTCACCCAGGAAAAGCTTGTGACTGTGAGAGGGACAACAGTGTCTCTGCTCCCACTCAGTTGCCTCAGTTGAGCACCTGAAGTAATTTTCAATTAACGTAGGCATGAGGATCTTATCAACCATGGGCGAATTGTAAAGCAAGCCTCAACAAACTGTATATGTTGCTACCTGAAAGTGTCCTAAACCTGAGAATAACTCAGTCTTTATTGTCCTCTTTGATCTGAAAAGAAAATCTGAAAGAATTGGAGTTAGCTGAATGTCTGTCCTTTCTGTTTGGCAGCTCATTGGAAGTCAGGCAGCTTTCTGCTCCGCTGCTGTCTCCCCAGCCAGTGGCACCTTAGGCCCAAATGAAGAAAAAGAATTCTGCATAGAGCTGTCAGCTAACATCATGGTAAGTTTAAAAACTGATGCAATTTTATCAAAACAGCAACACTGGCATTCTCATCTTGCCTCCATCTAGCAAAAGGAAGGATTTTTATGTACAAAACATAATGCTCCTTTTTCTGTACAATATGTCTGAAATTGCTGTGCTTGAGAGGTACCATGGTTGAAGGCAAGAATTAAAGCAGTCCACATGGTGTGCAATTTTCTACCCTGCCTCTTTGTTTCTCAACTGTTCTCGTTTTCTTTCTTTCTTGATTGCCTATTCAATTACTCTTAATGCTTATCACTTTTCTTGGAGATTACAGATCCCCAGTTTGGATTATCCCAAATGAAATGGAGCAGACTGGAATATATAATATACATTCCGTTTTCTGAATGCAACTGGGCCCATTTTGATATTTGAAAAGGGGCTGATGGGACTGAGAGCCTGCAAAATAGGGTGTAGACTGCAGAGTTCACAAACTTCAGGAATTCATCCGCAGACTTTCTAGGGGCATTCAAACAGCTGATTTAATGCAACTAAATGAAGAAGCTTTCTGTAGGTATGGTGTATTAGTTCCCATTACAATCACTGAAGACCTAAGTTTCATTAATTCACTTAAAAGTAGGTGTTCAGTACTATCAGAGATGCCGTAGCAGATCTCAGATACCCATATACATCTGACATATGTGGCACAGGATCCCAGTAAACGTCAGCCTTCTTCATGAAAGCTGGAAGCTCAACAGGACACACTGGGCATTGGGAGGGGCACTTCTGCATGTGGCCGGGGAACTGAATGCCATCCGAGCCACCTACAAGAAAGGTCGTCTGCATTGTAGGTGAGCTAAATACCCAAGTACCGTTAAAGAATCAGTGGAAATTTAGAGCTCATATTTGGAGTTCACCTTTATAGATGAACTCAAGGGCTCACATCTAGAGAGTTATATTTAGAAGTCTGAATCTGGAGCCGAATCCCAGTTTATTATTTTATGCAGGATGCACCGATTCATGTACTAATAAGGCAAAAAAGAGTAGTAGTGTTGAATTAGCCAGAGTACTGGTGTGATTGGGCCACATAATTAATTCTACAAGTCCTGCTTTAAACCCAGGTAGAAATAAAACCTTGGTTTTGGAAGATTATTTAAGTATGACTAGAAGTGATTAATGCTTGGAGCTTCAACACTTGCAGGAAGCGTGTCAGAAATCACTAACACAGCAGTTTTAGGCTTATAGACTGATGAAGGTACAAAGCCAAGAAACAGCCGCAAATTTTTACCTTGGTACTGCCTCTTAAGCAAATCTGATGTTGGCAGAAAATGCATTTAAAACAATTCGGTAAAACTTTTCACGGTTCTATTGTAGTTCTGATTTTAGTCCAGTGAAGTTTATGCAGCTTTTCTAAATCAATTTCTTAATGAGGCTGCCTTTTCTCTGTGATGTTTGCTTCAGTCACAAGGAAACTTGAATCTTCTCCTTTCAGGGTGAGCTGAAAGACCTTGCCCTTTCCTGTAGCATAGAAGACATGATTGAACCCCTCTTTCTGAGTATTTCTGGAGAAGTGAAAGGACTGCATGTCACCTACTCAGTACCTTGTGACAGTGGAGTTGCCAGGTAAATCAAGGGTTTACTGCTGAACTGAACAAAAATTACTCCTTCCCAAAGCAAAAACATAATAGAGAAGGGGAAAAAACACCTATCTATGGAAAATTCATTCCTCCTCCTGCTGTAGGCAGCAAAGACAGTAAAATGTGCTGTGAGATAAGTCACTGAAGTTGCCTATGTGAAGAAAAGGTACTGAGTCGTGGTGGGTTGACCCTGGCTGGATACCATGT